ACCCCCACTGGCTGAGATGCTAAAGTCTGAAACTAAGGAGTCATCTACTCCGAAGTGTGGGTAGAGGGAGTCTGGGCTCCTCCCCCAGCCTGAGAGACGGCTGGTACTACCGAAAATGTGCCAGTCTAAGCTACATTGTCCATAAAGCCAACTAGATGGACCAATGCATCCTGAAGAATGAGGGTAGCGATGAACCCCTTTGGAACCTGAGTTGGCCCTGCCGGAATGGTCTGGGCCGAAACCTCATCATCAAAATCCACCTGAGGCTCCGCCACTGGTGTTGCTGCTCGAGCTCTAGGCTGAGCCCTGCCCCTACCTCGGTTTCTAGCACGGCCTCGGCCTCATCTTTTACCCCTCGTAGGAGCTGCCATTAAGGGCTTGGGCTGCTGATCAGCTAATGAAGCGGTATATGTTCTCGCCATTTGCGAAAGAACATAGTAAAAGTTCAATTAGCTTTGAGAAATCAAATCGCATGATAGAGTAGAGTAGATGTGAAGTTATTCCTAAACTCTATAGCCTCTGAGGGATAAACACAGACATCTTCGTACTGATTCCTCAGACTCTACCTAGCTTGTTCGTGAATTGTAATACCTAGGCAACCTAGTGCTCTCATACCAACTTGTCACGACCCGGATTTCCTACCGTCGAGATCGTGAAGGCAACTAACTCTTAGAATGCTTGGCAAGCCAACAAATATAGACATAACACGCTAATCACTAACCCAAACAATAATTAACAATATCTTAAACTAAACAAATAAGAAGTGCGGAAATTTTTATAACAGGTTAAAACACTAATACACGACTACCGAAAGATTTGGTGTCACAATCTACAAACGTCTAAGCGTTTCTACAAATAATGGTTTAAAAAAATTACATATGTTCTCGAACAGAAAGAAAATAGGGAAAATAAGATAGAGGGAAGGGGACTCCAGGGTCTACGAACGCCGGCAGATCTACCTTGGGTCTCCTGTAGACTGAACGCAGCAACCCAAACTCTGATTAGTATGGTCCAGTATCTGGATCTGCACAGAAAGTGCAGAGTTCAGTATAAGTACAACCGACCCATGTACTGGTAAGTGCTGAGCCTAACCTTGGTGTAGTAGTGACGAGGCTAGGATACGACAAATAACATAAATCTGTGCAGTTAAATTATATACGAGAAAATAAAAATAACAAAAATTTAATAGATAATAACGGGAAGGGGGAAAACATACTGAGGGGACTATGAATATTCTGAGAATAGTACAGTACAGAAACATAGTAAATATCATGCTTTGAACCAACAAAAGTAATAACACAGCAATCAAGTGCACAACAACACCCTTTGTGATTTTACTCTCGTCCTTACCATAGGAAACAACAAAAACGGCATGACATCACCCTTCATGCATTAACTCTCTCATAATCATGGCATGACATCACCCTTCGCGCTTTATGAATATCAGAATACGGCATGACATCACCCTTTGTGCATTAACACTCACAAAATGTGGCACGACATCACCCTTCGTGTATTAACACTCACTCACAATATCTTGCACGACATCACCCTTCATGCTTTACACTCTTCCTCACCCAAAAAAATAGAACAATAATAACCCGGCAAGGGAATCATCAACAACCAACCTCATTTCATCATTTAACTTCACAATATAAATCTCAACTTGATTCAATACTCAACCAATATCCAATATCAGGAAAAACATGATAAAATTTGTTTAACATGAAGAGTAACCAATTTAAGAAGGAACAATACGAATAAAGAATACCACAGTCACAAGTATAAGACTCACTCGCATGCTAGGACCTGACAAAAACGTATAGATACTTGTCACCTCACTTATGCATCGTACTCAACAACCAAACACGCAGAAAATAAGGCAATAATACCTAATCCCTCAAGCTAAGGTTAGCCACAACACTTATCTCGATTTCACGACCAAAATCAAGCCTCAAATACCGTTTTCCTCTAGCTTCCACCTCCAAACCAATCGTATCTAGCCACAGTTAACTCAATATCATCAATCATTGCTAAAGGAATCAACTACGATGTATAAATTTAGTTTTCCCAAAATTCAAAAACCGACCCCGGGTCCGCTTGGTCAAAACTCGAGGTTCGGACCAAAACTCATTCACCCACGAGCCCAAATATGTAATTAGTTTTGGAATCCGACCCTAAATTAAGGACTAAATTTCAATTATACAAAAAGCCCAATTTCTACCATGAAAACCCTAAATTTTAGGTTGAAAATTAATGAAAAACAATGGGTAATTAAAATAAAGTGGTTTAGAATTATTTACCAACACTTTAGGGAAGAACTTGTCTCTTGAAAATTGCCTCTAAGGCTTCTTGTTTTTTGAAAATATGAAATTATGGAAGACTCCCATTTTTGATTCTGCTTTTAAACCACTGGATAGGCGTTCTTTGCATTCGCGAAGGGCTTGAAGCGTTCGCGATGCATTGCGGCCAGAAGGCCTTCGCGTTCGCAAAGAGTTTCTCGCATTCGCGATGGTCTTTCCCCCCCTGACCATTGTGTTCGCAAAGAACAATTCAGAGATTCCCTAGCCACCTCTATTACACCACGTGTTCGCGTATGGTTTGTCGCATTCGCGAAGAGCAATCCCCCCCAGTCCATCTTGCACTTCGCGTTCACGAGAGTTGCTTCGTGAACGCGAAGAACAAAGTATCAGTCATACCATAACAACAACACAACAGATTTCTTAAGTCCAAAACACCCTGTAGCCTATCCGAAACTCAGCTGAGCCCTTGGGGCTCCAAACTAAATATGTACACAACTCTAAAAATATCATAAAGACTTGCTCGTGCGATAAATCGCCAAAATAACATCTAAAACTGTGGAATTAACACCAAAACACATGAAATCCTTATGAATCTTAAAATTCCTATTTTCACAACCGGACATCCGAATCACGTCAAATCAGTCATGTTTCTCACCAAATTGCATAGATAAGGTATAAATATCATAATAGACATGTACCGTGATCTGAAATTACAATACGGACCCGGTATCAATAAAATCATATTAAACAAATTCTTAAAACTATTATAATTCCAGTTCAACAATTTCCTTCAAAAATTTATTTCTCGGGCTAGGGACCTCGAAATTCAATTCCGGACATATGCCCAAACCCTATATCTTACTACGGACCCTCCAAGACTATCAAAATACGGGTCCGGGTCCGTTTACTCAAAATATTGATCGAAGTCAAATTAAATCAATTTTTAAAGGCAAAGCTTAATATTTACTCAAATTTTCACATAAAGGCTTTCTGGAAATGCGCCCAGACTGTGCACGCAAATCAAAAAGAAAGAAAATGAGGTTTTGAAAGTGTTGGAACCCCGAATTGCGTTTTAAAATACGAGATGATCTTTTGGGTCATCACAAGTTTGGAGCCATTATACCCGAATAACGGCCTAGAAACTATGTCGGAGCAACTAAGGAATGCATTACACATATCATTGGGGTTGAATTCAGATGATAGTTAGATGAATGAAGATGAGTCGATCGACATTGATTTAGACGGCAATTTCAATGATGGAGAAAATCATGTTGACAATGTTGTTACTGATGATGTTGATGATGATGACGACCATTATTTAGAGGAAGAGGGAGAAGGTGGAGAGGACAGGGAAATTCCTAATGAGTTCAATGAATAAGATCTCATAATTGGTCCAATTAATGGGATACAGTTCAGTAATAAGGATGTTATGTTTGATTATTACAAAGAACATGCAAGAATATCAGGGTTTTGCATTGTCAAAAGAACATCAAATAAAAAAAGGTGGTGAAATATCTAGGTATGTGCAATATGGTTGTGATAGGTCTAGGAAACCAAAGAATAAGCATGTTACCAAAAGAAGGAACTGTTGTGCTAGAATAAATGGAATTTTGGAGTAAAATGGTTCATGGCGTGTTTCAAAGGTGGTTAAAAAATATAATCATCAATTGGAACCAGCACTATCACGATTGATGGCTGGATATAGATCGCTTAGTAAGTCTATTAAGAGAACTCTTGTAGCTAAAGATATTGCTGGCTTAAGACCCTAAAAAAATATAAGAGTCGCTGAAGTACTTGCTGGTTGCCCCGAAAATTTGGGTTGTACACCAAAGGACTGTAGAAATTATATTTTGAAGAGTAGAAAGCTTCAGTTGCAAGAAGGGGATGCATAATCATTACTCAGGTTCTTTAGTGACATGCAGCAAAAAGATAGAAAATTTTACTACTCCGTAGATATGGATAGTTTTGGTTGACTTCGTAATGTCGTATGGGTTCATTCACACTCTAAGGTTGCATATGAGGATGCCTTGATACCATATATCTTGTGAATTGATACAATATGCCATTTACTTCATTTGTTAGTGTCAATCAACATAGGCAGTCCATACTTTTGGGATGTGCTCTTATGTCTGGTGAGGATATAACAAGTTACAAAATGGTTCTCTCTACATGGCTTGGGAATCTAAACAATGTTCGTCCATTAGCTATCATGGCTGACCAATGTGATATTATTAAGGCTGGTACATAGATATTGTATATGGCACATATTCACAAAGTTGCCTACGAAGTTAAGCAGAGTTCTTGATGGTAAGATTGCAGAGGCAGAATTTAAGGCTTTAGTCCTTGATAGCATTAACGTTGCTGAGTTTGAGAGAAGATGGACTCATTATATTGCAAAATTCTATTATTATAGAAGTGGCAGTTGAGCTCCATCAGGAGTCAGTGTCATCAACATGCCTGCTTAGGCTAGAGAATTTTGCCACTATTTTTCTATATTATTAAGTTGAATGCCACAAGAGAATTTTTCTCTTATTATAGAAGTGGCAGTTGAGCTCCATCAGGAGTCAGCGTCATCAACATGACTGCTTAGGCTAGAAAATTTTGCCACTATTTTTCTATATTATTACGTTGAATGCCACAAGAGAATTTAGTAAATAAAGACAGCTTCTCAGGCAATTTAAAGAGCCACTTATATAGGTAAAATAGCTCTAAAAGTTGTAGGCTTTGCCTCTTCTGCTGAGTCAGTGTATTAATAGCAGAGCACGTGGACTTTTCCCCTGCTCTTCTTCTGCAACAAGGGGTAAATGTTCTTCTTTCTCTCAAATCTGTGCATCAAGGGGTTTCACTCAGAAGAGTTGTACCAGAATTGGTAATATAAGTTTTCCTCAATTAGTTACCCTTTCTACTATTCGATCACATCTCTCTTAATTTCTCTGTATCATGGGATTTCTCAGTTGTGTAATGTGTTGTATTTTTCTGTGTGAAAGGGCTGGTCTTTGTGTAATGTATTGTACGATTAGGATTTCTTTTTGGAAAAAAATTGGTGGATGGTGCTAGGGTTTGGGAATTTGAGAAATTGATAAAATTTGGAATTTTATCTGCTTCGTCCTCAATAATCCAGAAAGAGGATTATAATTCTTGTAGTAATAGGCCCAAAGTTAAACACATTCTCATTGTAAGACCTGCTTCGGCACTTTCATTTGTAGTCTTTATCATTATTTTTGTTTGAACATTGTTATAGTATAGTAACATAAAATCGTCTTGGTATTCTGTTGTTCCCTAATTTAGTCAAGATAGAGAAAGCTAAGGATCTATTAATCATAAAATGCATCAGTTTGCCATTGCAAATTGGAATTGCTCTTTATTCTAACTATATAGAAGAGCCCTTGAGCAAGCAGGAGACCGTTGTCATCTCCGGGGGCGGAGCTAGAGCACGAGCTTCGGGTTCAGCCGAACTCAGTAGCTTTTGTTCAAACCCTATATTTGTTTTAAGAGATTTATTGAATATCTATAAATTACTAATATAGAATCCACTAACTTAAACAGTCAAGAATTTTGAACCCATAAACTTTAAATTCTGGCTCCGTCTCTGGACTTATCTGCTTGCCGACATGAAGGCAGTTAGGTATTTTCATTTGCCTTTTGTGCTATGAGAAATTTCCCTGTGCTTCCGTACAACAACACGTAGCTAAAGTTGGTTGACCATGCTGTCTATGAGATAACAACGCACAGAATTTTTGAACTTTTTCCGCGTAACCTTTCTGTTGTCTCTTCCCCCAGGCCTCACTATTTTCTGCTTTATTCCTCAATTTCAGTCCAGCTATTCTCGTTTTGCCAATATGCCGCTGGTGAGGCTTTCTCCATTACTGCCTCCGTGAATTTTGACTGGAAGTGACATCTTCCCTGCTCAAAGAGAATAGATATTCAATTTGTTGACTTTCTCTTCTTGGTCCATCCAAGTAGTTTCTCATATATGTTGTTATACCACACACAGACTTAACGTTGTATGAATTGAAAGCCTCAGCAACTGGGAAAACCGTTAGTTGTGACCAAGACTTTTGCACTAATATGTTTAATGCTCCCTACTAAGATTGCAAAGTGGGAGCACCCTGTGAATATCAGGTTACTTATGCTAAATGTTGCCAAATGAATTCATGATTGACTTGGATGACTACTATCGGGGAATCTGTCGTTCAATAGCTTTTCTTTGGTAGCCACTGTTTTACTTCATCGAGTTCTACTACCCTATCTTATTTTCTTGTTATACAAACAATATTCGAAATCTGCTTGTGGTTACATAGATTCTATTGCAGTTACTTGGTAAGAGAAACAAATAACAAAATTTGTTTCTTACACCTGAAAAAAGATAGATTTGTTGTAGTAGCAGCATTCGGGCACCGCTGCTTCAAGTATAAATGAAACATATGTTGCATTGCATATAATGTAGATATTTAAATTTAGATGAATTGCAATGATTACTTTAAAACCTTTCTCTTGAGCTGGAGAACATGGGTTGCACTTTTCTTTAATATATCCAATTAAATAACTTCTTTCCTAGCTGATTAATTCTGTTTTTTGTCGCTATATATTATGGGTGGTTTCTTAAATGTAAATAATGCTACTCAAGCATGTGATATCGTATATTCTTTTCAGCAAGTAATTTATCTCGTGATGACATGTATGTAGCTTACATGTTTTTTTTTATCGAAGATAGGTCTACTTATGAGTGCTTTGATTCTCTCTTTACAACTCTTTGAACGCTCTCAATGCTAATGGTGACCCCCAAGGTTCAACGAATGAATGAAACTACGTACCTGGATAGAGATGATGGTCTTCCTCTGATGTCTCCAAGTCGGCCATAATAGAATAGATAGTTCGCTTAGGAACTACTCATGATTCTAACCGTAAAAGAAAGAGCATATGCAGATTGTACTACAACTTGAGCTGACGGCTCCAAAGATGTATATGATGGATGCGTAATAGCTGCCTATGTTTGTGCTAATAGCAGGATCAATAATGCAATTGAATCGTTTATCCGATATACGATTTCAATTTTTCAAGACATGGAATGGAATTGGTTTGGCTAATGAAAAGAACTTGTTGTTACAACTATAAGGTACCAACTTGGCAAGTTTTCTTTACATACCATTGAAACAGAACAAAAGTTAATAGTATGGTTATTCTGCTGTTTTGCAGTATTTATAGATTTTCTATTATTATTGTTTGCTTTATGCACTACAGATACTCTTTTATGCCTTTGTAAGAAATACTTACATTTGGAATGCATAGTTGCACCAAAAAAAGCTAAACGAGTGCAACACCAAGTTATCTTTGTTGTTGAATGACTATAAGCACAAGTATATTGACCTCTTAATTTCTAGAATTGTATTCTATTGCAATGTAGATCAATAACTTTCAACCCATTAGTAAGTATACACTGCTCGTCAAGACTTATGTGGCAAAAGCATCAGATGTTAGTTTTATCTCTCCAATAGTAAAACACAGAACTTCTTACGTATTGCAATTGCTCCTGCTTAGGAAATGTTAACTAATCTTACAAGTGATTTTTGTCTTTATCACAGAGCAATACTTTTTAATCAGCAATACTTTTTAAACAAGAGTTACCATGGTACTCTTACGCTATCAAATAGTATTTATCGAAATAAAATACGCTTTAATCCAAAGTGTTGGCCCGGGCCAATCCCATCTAGTATAACTTAGATGGAAGGGATTGATTTTATAAGCTTTATTTGGAGAAGGAAAAATTGATTCCTGTATACCTAAATGACCACTTTTGGGCTGGGATGTTGTCCCCACAAAGAAGTGAAGGAATGCAAGCTTTCTTTGACGGATTCATCACCCGCCAAAGCACTTTGAAGCTATTTGTTCAACAATATGAGTTAGCCATAAGAGCTAAGTTCGAGAAAGAATTGGAAGCTGAATATAGGTCAAGGTGCTTTGAACCAAAATGTTTATCTGAATTTGCATGGGAGGAAAAACTTCAAACATGTTATACTCGTGAAGTGTTTGAATTTTTTCATCAAGTACAGTTAAGGAAACTGTATCATTGTGAAATTAACACCCCTGAAGACCATCAAGCAGTAGCTGGAGTGGAGAATTACATTATCGCAGATTATTCGTTTAGGAGTTTTAACACTAGAGATCCATTTGTATTCACGGTTGAATATACACCTATTGGTGAATATCTAAGTTGCAGCTGCAAGTGGTTTGAAACAAGAGGTATTCTACGCTGCCATATACTTAAGGTGTTGTCTCATAAGAGGATTAAAAATGTTAATGAAAGGTATATATTGAAAAGGTGGAGAAAAGATATTGTTTGTCCGCACTTGAAACGTTTCTTTCTAGGAGGTTACCCACGTATGCCTTCTGAATACATGATGTACATGAAACTATTAAAGCATTTTGAACGGTTCTGTGATGTTGCATTGGACACTGAAGTGATGAGGCGGTATATTAAGTTTGATTAGAACAGATTGGAGCATGACCTTTTGAATTGTGATGATGATATAATAGTTCCAAATTGGGAATCGGAAGCTACACATGAGGGTGAGGGTGAGGGTAAAGGAAGAAATATAAGAGATCCTAGATACGTAGCTTCTCGTGGACGTCCAAGGTTGAATAGATATAGAGGGCGAATTGATTCATACTTTAGAAGTTCACAAACGAGTTGTGGAAGTGGAGTTAGAGGTAGAGGTGGTGGTAGAAGTGGTTGTAGAGGTGGTTGTAGAGGTCGTGGTTGAGATCGTGGTAGAGGTGGTGGTAGAGGCCGTGGTAGAGGTAGTGGAAATCTTCGGCTAGCGGAAGGAATTGAGGTTAAGTATAACAAATTATTATTATATTATTTTTTTGAAAAATACATTGCTTACTAGTCTTATTTACTCTAATTATAGTGATGGTACAATAATACCACCACAGAGTAGCTTGCCTGATCTAAACGATGAAGCAAACTGGGAAATACAAGACTTGACTGTTTAGTTTGAGATGATTTAAGTTTGAATTTTATTTAATTTGATTTGAGATAGATTTTTTTGAATTTTTTGACTTTGTTTTGTAATAAGTTTAAACATGTAGTATTATAATTGTTATTGTCAAATATTTCATTTTATTGTTACTTCATTTTAATTTAGAGGACTAGGCTAACAAAATGTGATTAGTTGCAACTAGCTAGTACAGAAGTGAAAGACTTGAGAACCTTAAAATCAGTTCAAACTAAAAATTAAAATACTCACATTTAGTTACTAAACCCCTACCTTTCAACCCTACCTTCAACATTCAACTTAAAACCCTACATTCAATACCTATCTTGGTATCCCTGCCTTCAACCCTTATATTGAACGGTTTTTCCCCTGAAAATTTCAACATTCAACTGCAACCAATTTATAACCCTATCTTCAACCAAATACTCCAAGAGGTCAATGTAAAATCAGTGTAATCTTTCCTCTTTGAATACAAAACCTACCCATTTAACTTTCCTATGTAGCATTTACTCTTAGAATATATTAATAACATACGAACCTATTTAACTTCCCTATGTAGCATTTACTATTATTATTATTATTATTATTATTATTATTATTATTATTATTATTATTATTATTATTATTATTTTCTGTATTTTTTCTCTATCTTCCCCTTTCAATATTTTTGTATATTGAAAGGGTAGATAATATTTCATGTTGATCGTCATTTGTTTTGATATAAAGGACACTGCCACCATACGACAGAATTAACAAAAAAAAAGCATTTACTAAACATTACATTTAAGTTTTTTTGAATGATAATTTAAAAAAGAAAATTATTATAGTAAATGTCATGACCCGAATTTTTCCACCTTCGGAAATCGTGATGGCACCTACTCGTGAAAGATAGGCAAGCCGACAGTTACAATTACCACCATTATTATTAATTCAAACATGGACAGATAATAACTAAAACAAAATAATTATGAAATGCGGAAGTGATATTGCAATCCAACAATTCTAATACATAGCTACCCTAATGATCTGGTGTCACAATCCATGAACGACTAAGATTTACTACCAATATAAGTCTGAAAGAAGTACAACTGTTCTCGAAATAGAAGAGACAGAAGAAACTAAAACGGGGAAAGGGGACTTCAGGCTCTGTGAACGTCAGTAGATCTACCTTGGTGTCGCTGGACTAAAGGCAACAACCTCGAATCTATCCACAAGGTTCGGCACCGAAATTTGCACAAAAGTGCAGAGTGTAGTTTCAGTACAACCGATCCCATGTACTGGTAAGTGTCAAGCCTAGCCTCGGCGAAGTAGTGACGAGGTTGGGACACGACAATCATATAAACCTGTGTAGTTAAATCATATACGAGCAGAACAATAATAACAGAAAATAACAGATAAAGATGGGAAGGGGAAACATGTTGCGGTGAATATCAATTGTAACAGTAATTCAATAGGGAAGTATAATGAACACCATATTTGTATCAACAGGGATAATGAAACAGTAACATGTGTACGATATCACCATTCGTGTTTTTACTCTCATCCTCACGATAAGAAACAACGAAAATGGCACGACATCACCTTTCGTGCATTAACTCTCATAATCGTAGCATGACATCACCCTTCGTGCATTAGCTCTCAAATCATGGCACGACATCACCCTTCGTGCATTAACACTCACAATACCGGCACGGCATCACCCTTCGTGCATTAACACTCACTCACAATATCATGCACGATATCACCCTTCGTGCTTTACACTTTTCCTCACCCAAACAATAGAAACAATACATCTTGACAAGGGAATCAACAATGGAAACAATAACATCCCGGCAAGGGAATCAGCTATAACTAATCTCGTTTCAATAGTTAACTCCACGAAATAAGTCTTAACTTGAGTCAATACTCAACAATGATCAATTACCAAGAAAATATCATAGGTCTTTTTCAACATAGATAATCCTCAATTTAAGCATGAACAGTACAAAATAAGAGCCACAACAGTCACAGTATAAGACTCACTTGCATGCTCGACACCAACACATAAATACTCGTCACCACATCTATACGTCGTACTCAATACTAACACGTAGCAAATAAGACCACAACTCATATTCCCTCAAGCTAAGGTTAGACCAAACACTTACCTCAATTCCACGGCCAAAATCAAGCCTCAATTACCGCTTTACCTCTTGGTTCCACTTCCTATCAGCTTGAATCTAGTCATAATTTACTTAATAACATCAATAAACGCTAAATAAACCAATTCTAATGCATGGGTATAGATCTTCTAATGTTATCCCCAAAAGTCAAAAATCGACCCCGGGTCCACTTGGTCAAAACTCGAAGTTCGAACTAAACTCGATTACCCATTCACCCACGAACTCAAATATGCAATTGGTTTTGAAATCCGACCTCAAATTGAGGTCCAAATCCCCAAATTTCAAAATTACTAATTTCTACCCAAGAACACTAAATTTCCCATGAAAACCTTAGATTTTGAGATGAAATCATGTAAAAAGATGGAATATATTAAAGAAAAAGAGTTAAGATTCATTTACCTATGATTTGGGGAGGAACTTGCTCTAGGAAAATCGCCCTTTGAAGTTTAGGTTTTGAAATTTTGAAGAATGAAGTGAAAATCCCGTCCAAATAATGTTTTGTTCAGGTGCAGATGTCGCAATTGCGAAGCTCGCAAATGCGAGACAGGCTTCGCAATTGCGAATCTGCTGCATGTCTGCTCCTTTCGCAATTGCGAGCAATTTGTCGCAATTGCGATCTTTGATCGTCCCTGTTGGCTTCGCAAATGCGAACAAATGCTGACATGGGCTTCTTCGTAATTGCGATAAAGCCCTTGTAATTGCCAAGCATGTTAGGCTTGCAATTGCAAAGCCTGACCTCACAATTGCGAGATCAGAGCTTGCAACAATACCAGATGCAACAACAATTTTTTTTCTAAGTCCAAACTCACTCCGTGGCCTATCCAAAACTCACCCGAGCCCTCGGGGCTCCAAACCAAATATGCACACAAGTCTAAAAATATTATACGGACTTGCTTGTGTGATCAAATCGCCAAAATAACATCTCAAACAACGAATTTAACACCAAAACTCATGAAATTCATAAAGTAGTTCAAAATTTCTATTTTCTCAACCAAAGGTCTGATTTATATTAAATCTCTTTAGTTTTTCATCAAATTTCACAGATACGACCTAAATACTAT